TTTCTTATATATTGAATATCACAAATTAAACCCTACTTTCTATCATTAGTTATTTATTAGTTATCCAAATTATCTACTTATTTCGATTGCCTATTAGTGACAGATAAACAAATTGAACGCCATCGTTGTAGTTGATGTATTATTTTTTATTAAGTCTTAGTCCGTAGTATTCTATTTCTCCCTTTGGAATCGATAACTAGGACTCCATTGGAGCCCTATATTACTTGAGTGATACGTATACTTGCGTTGACAAATTCGACTTTAACATTATTGAATATTATATCTATACATCCTTATTAAATCAAACACACATATATAAAGTTGCAGTCAAGATTTTGACACCGTTGCTGGAATTTAGATCTTCTAGTAGCGTTCATCAAATTCTTGTAATTGTCAATTTATAAAAAGAAAAAGGTCGGTCAAATAGTATCCCTGGAGAATAGCCTGACTCGTGACATACGCGGTTTCCATTTTAAAAATAATATTATCACATTATTAAATATTTTTTTAATTGTCGTTTTCCTTATTTTAATAATGATGATACTCGCTGTTAAGTGAGGTGTAAACTTATTTATTGCAATGTTCTGAAGTGAATTTTTACTTCTAAGTATCAAATATGTTGCTATGACAGTGTTGTTACTTCATAAAGGCATAATGTTTGTTTGTCTAGAAACAAATGTGCTGCAAATGTTTTCAAACAATAATAAACAAACAACTAGCTAGCTTTTTCTCAGCGGTTTCTGCGCAGTAGCTTCCTAGGGCAGTTGCTGTGCAACAGCTTTTTGGGGCACAACTACTGTGCAACAAATTATTAATAAGCTACAACTGCCTCATACGGACCCGCAGACTAATTATCACATCATCTAGTTAAAGGTGAGATTAATTAAACCTGCAACTTAATGATTATTTGGATAAACTAAAAAATAATAAAAGGTTTCCAATACTAATAATATTTATTATTTGATATTGGGATAAAATCAATTTTACAATTTTATTAAGATGCTTTAATATTTAGGGTAACCAGAAGTTAAATTTTAAATAAAATTTAGTTTTAAATTCATTACTTTAAAACTACTATATATCAATAGCATTGGGAGAGTTTGATGCCATGGGTTAAGAAAAGGAGAATCGCTTGCAAAACTCCTAAAACTTATTGACAAAATTAACACCCCTATTATATTTTTGAACTATGGAACTAGTGCATTTAAGAGTTTGACAAAAATGAAAAATTTAGGTTGAGATTTTATTGTGATTTTCAATATTTGGGTGATTATTTTAAAATAGAGATAGGGAGTGTTAGATTTATAACTAGCTAAAATTTAAGTGATGTATATAATTGTCCCCCAAAACATTTTGGTTTTCATGCATGTTTTTCCTTGGCTTTCAGCTCTGGTTTTAAATTGTGGAGAATTATTTTCTCTGTAGTACATAGTTTAAAGTGAGAGAGCTTTGGAAGAAAATAAGAAATTTCTTATAGAAATCTGATAAAAAGAGGAGAAAATCAATGGAACTTAGTTTGTGTTATCATAGAGTCATCTCAACAAATCAAAATACACCTGCACCAGAGATTTTGAGAGGATTTCATAAAGGATACAAAGTAGTACTTATTTGCAGATCTTTTGAAGTATTATCAATTTGCTTCTCTTTTTCTATTATCAATTTTTAAGTTATTTTTTCTCTTATTTGTCTTTAGAGAAGGTTGTTGAGTATCTTTATTTTCTACATTTTTTCTGGCTTCTGTTTTGTGGATGGGATCTTCCCTTATCTCTCATATAATTAGGCTTAGTAAGCCAAATCACATAAGTCTCAATGTTTTTGTTGGATTTGATTTTTTTCCTGTGATTACTTTGTTTCTCATCATATTCGTTTCTCATTGCCTCCTCAAAATAAAAGTTAGGCACTTTTTCACATAAGTGTGGAGTGATAAAATGCTTTTTGTTTTGGTTTTATTTGTTCACCTCATTCTTGCTTATTGGTACTTTATTTTAATTAAGGGTGCGTTTGGGGGAGCTTATTCACAGTGGTGGCGTTTTGAGAACGCCACCGACTGTTTGAATATAGCGTTTTGGAGGCTTTTTTGAAAACCCCGTTTGCTTCTTTCTATTAAACGCGGATCGCGGGTCCTACCTGTGATCCGCGTTTCGTTCGAGTGATTTACAGTAAAGGCCCGCGCTCTCTGCCCTAACATTCGACTCTCTCGTTCGCCTTCCTCCTGGACAGATCTGAGCCCCCTCACCATCTCCTCTCCTCCCGCACGTCGCTCAGAGAACAGGCGGAGCACACCATTCCAATTTGTACATCCAGAGTTTCGATCGCCGCCACACGAGGATTCCATGACTGACGGAAGTGTGCAGCGGCGACTCGCTGGCGTGGGACGAATCTGACAGCATGGCCGGAAAGCGAGCTAAGGTTGAAGCCGGTCGGAAGGGAGAGCCGGTCCTGGTGAGGTGGGGCGGCCGACCCGTGGCTGGAGATCCCCACGATGGTTTGTGCAGCGGTAATGGAAGATGAAGCGGCCATGGATGCGCACTCTATCTAGTTCGAGCTTTTTAGTTTTCTCTCAGAAACTAGAGGGAGTGCTGCGGAAGGAATTTGTCTTTGTGAAAGAGGAGAGTAATAGGTGGACAAAGATCAGTTTCTTTGAAGGTTCCATTCCAATGCATGTAGATATTAAAGTGCATTCCTAAATTCTTTTAAAATAATTTGCGTCTTGTAATTTATCTAGTGATTTCCTGAATTTATCATAGTTTGTTTAACATATAAGTTGTGCTGCATTTATTTCATTTATCTTTATGAGTGTGATGGAGTGTTGTAAATGCTTCACAAAATATTCTTATGATTTAGGAATGCACTTTAACATGTAGTAGTTTGTTTAAAATATTCTTATGATTTAGGAATGCACAAAATACTCTTATGATCTAC